AGAAACCAGAGTGTCTGTCTCTGAGGCCCCTCCTGACCCTAGGGAATTAGTGACATCTGAAAGCAGTCCATCTGTCCTCTGGGTGATGTGAAACATGGCTGGAAATGGGATGGTAGCTACAGGAAGGGTTTGTTTCCATGTGCACATTACCCAAAAAGGAAGATTAGGACAGCAAAGTTGCCTCTGTCTCCAAATAGCCTTGGATTAAGAATTGACTCTCAACTCCTTCTGAAGCCTAACTGGTTCATGGTTTCTGGAGCAAGGGGTCTGGGCTAGTGATTACAGGCTTAGGGCAATTTGAGAAATAGCATTAGGAAAAGGAGAGTCTTAGCATTTTTTTTCAACCTGTTGTAAACCAGCAGAATAAGTAATATAAATATTAAACTTAAAATGGTCTTAGATTTAAGTGTAATTTTTTTTTTTTTTTTTTTTTTTTTTTTTTTTTTACCCAACTGTCTGAAATGTCTATAATCTTGCTCCGGATGCAGCAGGGCAAGGCCTCAAACTGTTCCAAAATGTTCTCACAAGCTCGATAGAAATGCATAGGGTCACACCAGATCCAAGCATGCTGAAGGTTTGCAGTGAGTATAAATTTATGCAGATAAATAAACATAGCAATCAGAAGTAGGATTAATTTATCCAGGAAGGTAGATAAGTAATTTAGGAACTAATTCAGTTCCTTTGTTCCCAAACATCTTTCTTTCCCAGTTTACAAAAGTATTTTTTCTTTGTTTTGCATTAGGCCTGAAGCTCCAGTAATAAAAAATAAGAAATTGGTTAATGAAGTGTGCAAGTGACATTGAAAGAGCACTAGAGTAGGAGTCAGGGCCTGGGGTCCTTTGGTAGCAACTTGTATGACTTGTTGCTAAAGGATGGCCAACTTTCCCCATCCAGGCTTTGGAATTTCTCAAATTCAGTTGGAACTAGATGGATAGTTTTCAAACAGTATTCTGTGGAAACCTGGTTTATTCAGAAGGATTTAAGGCTCCTGCCAATGTATGGATTAAATTTTGTTTTCAAATGAAATTTCGCCTATTTAACTAACTTTGCTTCACACGTAATCTCAAATGTATGTTATATGTCAAATTTCACATCAGTGACTATATCCATTAACTTGTGCTAGAACCTTAGAGTAAAACTTCCTTTGCTATCTTGTATAATTGAACAGAACTGAAATTGTTCAAAAACAATTATGACTTCAATTGCTTTTCTGTGTAGATTTTATCATATCATAGAGCCAAAAATATATAGAGAGCACTACTGTGTAAGCCAAGACTGATACAAACAGAGAACTGTGGCTTATAATCATTTCTAAGTCTGGGAATCACCAAAGTATCTATACAATGGGTGAAGGTTATAAATTTGGATGTTATATGATATATATATATATATATACTAGCTAAGTACTACTAATTTATCTTATCTTTTTGTAGCCTTATGTAATTTATTTTGGAAAATATATATATATATATATATATATATATATATATATATATATTTTTTTTTTTTTTTGCTTCTAAAAATGCTTTTAAATCACTAGGCAAGATGGTTTCTAATATCTCTCTCTCTGACATTATATCTGGGTCTCTTTAAAACATTAGAAAATATCTACTTAAGTTGTTACCCTTAAAGATTTTGAATTTGATGAACATAATAGAGACATGGCTGGAGTTTGCTTTAGCTCTGGAGCACTTCAGGGGAGAGACAGGCTTGGGTGGATTCAGTTTAGGGTTTAGGGTCAGAGAGCAGCAAAAAGCACCAAAAGTGCTTATGAAGGGAGAGGGGAGCTAAACCATGGGAGGGGGTCACCAAAGACATGAAAGGGGTGAGCCTAGAATTTCCCTGGCTAGTAGGGTGCAGAAGTGCATGGTTTTTCAACTCTGATTTGGGAAGTGATCAAATTTATCATAGGATAGCATATTGAGGCTAATAAAGACCTGGCAGGTAAGCTGGTTTATTTTATAGATAAAACGGGCAAAATACGAATTAAAAAAGACCTATGCACCCCTATGTTCACCATAACATTATTTACAATGGCCAAGATATGGAAGCAACCTAAGTGTCCATTGATTGATGAGTGGATGAAAAAGCTGTGGTATGTATTCAATGGATTAATACTTAGTCATAAAAAATGAAATCTTGCCATTTACAGCATGGATGAACCTACAGGGTATAATGCTGAGTGAAATAAGTCAGACAGAGAAAGACAAATAACATATGATTTCACTTACGTGTGAATCTAAAAAAGAAAATAAATGAACAAGCAAAAGAGAAGCAAATTATAAGTATAAAGAATAATTTTATGGTTGTTAGATGGGAGGGGGTTGGGGATGGGTGAAAAAGGAGAATGATTGAGAATCACAAATTGGTAGTCACAGAATAGTCATGGGAATATAAAGTACAACATAGGGAATACAGTCAATAATATTCTAATAACTATGTATGGTGTCAGATGGGGACTATACTTATCTGGGTGATCATTTCGTAAGTTATATAAATGTCTAATGACTATGTTGTACACCTGATACTAATATAAACTGGTCTGTCAATGGTAATAAAAAGAAAAAACAGACCCAGAAGAAAGAAACAACTTGCCCAAATGTTTCAGGTCAGTTTCAGGATGATGAGGACTAAGGCAAACAGGGTCAGTGAGGAATGAAAAGAAAATATAGACTCAAGAGGAAGGCCCTTCTATCACCTCATTAGTTTTCAGGGGACAGCTTAGCAATAACCACTGTCCCCCTTTACTAGGTGTCCCAGTTAATGCAGATTTTTTTCAATAGATGGAGTGACACATATGTTGATATGTATGTGATTTGATACGTATGCTATTTTGTTGTATTGCTAACCTCAGATTACCACTTGTTCCAATTGATGGCACACACACTTTCTGAGTAGCACTTCAAAACTCTCTGATGGAAAATTTGGTGATATGAATGGAAAATAAATATAAATTTAGAAACTTATTTTTAGGAGTGAACAAAAGGACCTTAGTGAAAAATTGGAAATGACAGAAATAGCCATGTGAATGAAGGGGTTTGATAAATTCTAGTTCATTCTTACAACAGAGCACTATTCTCTCATTATAAATATATTCACTCAATACAAATCTAGACATTGGTGGAAGGTAATGCAACAATATTCATAATATATTTTAATGGGGAAAGTGAAGATTACTAAATAGCATTTATTGAATATTTTAAAGATATAAACGGACATAAATAGAAATGGACCAGAGATAAATATATTAAAATATTAACCAAGTAGTTTCCTTTTAGTGGATATTCCTTTCAGATAATGCTCATCATTTTCTTTGTCAGTTTCTCTATTTTCTAAATTGAACAAAAACAAAATAAATCTTTTTAATGTAAGAAAATATTCTCAAGCCTATTTTAATTTGAAGGAAAAGCACTGAAATTTAAGAGCAGAAAGAACCATAGCTATGACCTACCTCAGCACAGAGTCCATTTGCGGAAGGAAAGCTGATTCAGGAATGGTGTCTCAGCTTGGATGCCACAGTATAAAGGGAGGTCAAGGTAGAGGAGGAAGCAGGACACTGACCACACAGAGCTTCCCCTATAATCATCCATCATCTTAGCAACCAGCTACACTGCCTCGGGCCTAAACCCTTCTGCAGTTGCGTTAGTCTATGGATTTACCATTTTCCATGATGACCTTGTGAGTTTGTTGGCCAGTATTACCCCAAGTGTAGGTGATGCACCACAAGGGCTATGAAATATTTTAGCCAATACACAAGTATGGTATTAAATAGCATTGAAACATACAGTATGAGAGTTAATCCCTGTACTAGTTTGTTATGGCTGCTGTAACAAATTATCAGAAACTTAGTGGCTTAAAAATATAAGTTTATTCTCTTACAGTTTTGAAGATCAGAAATCTAAGATCAAGGTGTAGGGCTGCATTCTTTATGGAAACTTCTGGGAGAATCCGCTTCCTCCCCTTTTCCAGATTCCAGAGGCAGCCTGCATTCCTTGACGTAGTACATCACTCCAGCTTCTTGTGGTTTCGTTGTCATATTTTCTGACTCTGACTTTCCTGCCTTCCTCTTAGGGGGGCCCCCTGTAATTACTTTGAGTCCACTTCTCACCTCAAGTTTCTTAACTACCTTAACTTAGTCACATCTGCAAAGTCTCTTTTGTCATATAAGGGTTAGGGTTAATTTCTTGAATTATGACATGGACATCTTTGAGGGGCTATGATACATTCTACCAAAGTCTCACTGTCAAATTTCTTTCAGCCTGAGCGCAAGGAGAAAGCCGAACTCTGGTTTATGTCTTTGTTTCTAGCAATTGGCAATCTCCCTTTCAAATCAAGAGGACATGTTTAACAAAAAGAAGGCAGTTCTAAAATTCAGGGGCCTTGACTAGTCATGGCATCTAGGAATTTTATTATCAATTATCTGCTTTTCATTGTTACAGTTTATATTTACCTTCAAGTTGGAGTAAATAGTACCTTTTCCTGCCATTTATAGTAGCTTCAAAAATGTTTTTTTTAAAAATATATATAAGTAAGCAAATTGAGTTTGAGACTTGTAAATAAGCAGTATCGTAGGCGGCATGCAGACATGGCACAGGTGAGTGAGGAATGTGAATGACTACAGTTTGGGAGAACACCAATCTACTTACAATTAAGGGAGAATGGGAAAGTTTAGGGATCATTCTGCTCCATGCTTAGCACTACATGAGGCTTGCCTTGAGAAATTTTCCTTTCTGTCTCTTGTTTGGTTCTGTATGTGGGTGAATCAGCAAGACAGGGAGAAAGATCTTCCTCCTTATTCATAAAGAATGCAAATCACCAGTGGAAAATCTGTGGGATACCATTGATTGGGGGATGTTTTCCTTGAGACTCATTGACCAAGGAACATTCAGCAACATCAACAATGTGGAGGATGCTGGAGGAGACCTCACTGCTGATTATTTTTTCCCCAAAGCCTCCTGAAGTTGAAAGCAAACTTTAATGGAAAAGTGGGTGTATTGTAGTCAGGAACATGTCTTCATCAAGTCTAGGATTGTATTGTACATCCGTGCAGGAGCATCAAGGCCCCAGATGAAATCAACGTGGTTCCAATCTGGCAAAAACTGGAAGTAATGGAGATTCCTGATTTGGGGGAGTATCCTGGCCACATCCTGGATTGTTATAAGGACATCGTTTCCACCAACCCAAATAGCAGTAGGCACTGTCATGGCAGTCAAGTCATACACTGGGGGGCGACTCTATGGGGGAGAAAGAAAGGACATTCATGAGAGGAAGCTCCTCACAGAAACAACTGAATTCAAATAAGTAGAGATGCTATCAAATCAATATCTACCAAGTCCATTTTCACTGAGGGAAATAGGAAGGAAAAATGCAATGTTTCTTATCTTCAGGAGTTTGAAGAAACAAGGCAAGAAAACCAAACATTTGTATGCAAAATAACGTATGTTATACGTTATAACACACTATAAAGACAATCAAAGTGAAGACAAAGAAGTTATTTCCAATTGGAGGCTTCAAATACAAAGAAGTCATTTGAGATGACTCTTGAGTGACAGTTGGAATTTGACAGATAGGAAGGAGAGTGGGAGGGCTTCCTAGGAGGAAGAGCCTGAATGCCATGGTCAGGAATGGCAAGCTATCCAGTGTATACCCAGAGAAGAAAATATTTGAAAGACTATTGTAGGATATAAGATCGGAGACAGACAGTCTAAATGCCAGGCTAGGGATTTGGATATGTTTCAGAAGTTTTGGGGACAAAGCAGGTTCATTTCTCAGAGCTCTGTCTTAAGAGGGCTGCATGATCATGAGTTTGTGAAATGATATGAAGAAAGGATAGTTCTTGGAAAAAAAATCTAGTCAAGCAATATGGATGGTCCACAGAAAGAGATAGTTAAAGTTCTGGAGATGGCTAAATTCTCCAAGGAAGAGAGATACTAGTATAGAGAATCTTGTTAAGATCTTGTTAGAATACTAGTTAAGAATCTTGGGGAAATGCTGACAGTTGGACAGTGGTGGGAAACAGAGAGTGGCCAGTACAGAGGACAAAGAGAGCAAACAAAAAGGGAAAGAAAAAATCAGAGACCATTGCATCACAAAGTTCAAGTTAGGAGAGTAAGTTGCAAGGAAACTATAGTAACTGTTTGTTTTTCATGAGATAGAGGAGCTCCTTTAAGAAAATAAAAGGAGTAAGAGTGAAGAAGGGCTGAAAAGAGATGAGGGTCAAGGGCACATGCAAGTGAACTTGGAAAATAAGAGGGTCTTCATTTTCTGAGAGAAAAGAAGACTAGAATCAAGAGGACAGAGACATTTTCAGGTGGTCAGAGGGAGGTTAAGAAATTGTATTCATGCAACAAATAAATATCGAGGGCCCCGTAAACGCCAGCACTCTGCTAGGTGAGAAAACATTGGTGAACGAAAGAGAAGGTAATCCCTACCCTCATGAGGCTTGCATGGGTTAATCTTCTTATTCTCGAAAAAGCATAGAGTAGGCACAGAGACTGTGCTGGAAACTTAAGAAGAGGGCAAACTGATGAAATTAGAATGTAATAAAAATTGACTTCAAATTGAAATGGAATTTTTGGACTGGAACCTGGATTTTTTGTCCATGAGAATCAAAGAATGAATCCATGATCAGAAAGTGGTACAGCAAAGGTGGAGATTTATTAAAGAACAAGTACAGACTCCCACATGGGGTGAGGGGAAGAGTCCCACAGAATGGACTCCCAAGTAGAGAGGGGGAAAGGGTCCACTGAGTTCCTTTTCCCTATGGCTCATAATGCAGGATCATATGCAGATCCTGGTGCCTTGGTATCCCCTCTGATTGGCTACTATTCCCCTAGACTGATTACTATACTAACCCCTGGGCTCAAAGGTTGAATCTCACAAAGGACATGTGAAGTCCCCCCCCCCCCACCACCATTCCTTTCTTCTTCTGCTTCTGGATGAAGGGCTTCCTTCTCTTTATTTTATAAATATAGACCTTTTGCTGTTCCCAGCTCCCTCATTCTATGGAAATGTACCGTTGCAGCTTTTCAGCTGTCCTATTCTCTGGAAATATACCTTCTGCTGCTCTGCAGCCCTGTGCTTCCTCCATGGTCCCCTTCGGTTCCAAAATTTCTACAATTTCCTAAACCTGTCCTATTTAACCTTAAAACTTGTTTCAAAATGATCTAAAATCACACACAAATAAAAGAGGATCAGCCTGGATAAATTCTAAGGGCATTTACACTATTACATACTTATCATGTTGTATATTCAATCTTAAAATTTCATTTGCTGATTTTACCTTACTAAAACTTGGGGGGGCGGGGGGGAGAAAGAACTTGATTATAATGGTCTTTAACTGTGATATATTTTGTTCCATTTTCTTTTAAAAGTAAATAATATAACCTGGCTGGCCTGATTCAGTGGTTAAACCTAAAAACCAGGAGGTCATGGTTAGATTCCCGAACAGGGTACATGCCCAGGTTGTAGGCCTGATCGCCAGTGGGGTGCATGTAAGAGGCAGCCAATCAATGATTCTCTCTCATAACTGATGTTTCTATCTCTCTTCCTCTCACTTCCTCTCTGAAATCAATAAAAATAGATATTTAAAAAAGTAAACAATAGGGGATCCAAGATGGCTGCGCCCAGGTAAACACCTAGCTGCAGCTGCACACAACAATTTCAATAAAATACAACTAAAATATAAAATGGACATTACCCAGAACTACAGGAAAGTCGACTGACTAGATTTCTACAACGAGAAGCAAGGAGAAAACCAGAAGAAAGCGCGGAAGAGCTGTAAAAGCCCAAGGTATGGAGACGCGCAGAGCGCGGAGAGGACAGAGCCGGAGAGGAGGGAGGCCGAGTGCCTGGCTGGCGTTCCCTAGCGGGAAGGAGATAAAACTCCGACTGTGTTGGGCCCAGGTTCTGACTGCTCTGAACTCCAGTCCTAGGCCAGACCCCGGGGACCCAGGCTCATCCATAGGGAGCTGGGCTGTAGGCGGAACCCGGGGAAGTGGGGAAAGGAGGTCCTGGCAGCACACACAGTGCGCGCAGAGAAGGGCCGGCTGGCTGTGCTGCGGGATTGCCCTGGCCGGAAGGAGACAGGGGTGCCAGTCTGCTCTGAACGCCACCTGCAACTCCACTTCCAACTGAACTGAACCCCAATATCGGGCTCATTGGGGGAGAGCATAGACTGTTTGGCAGCAGGCGAAAATCGAGGGCACCTTTCTCTCAGAGGCGCTTTGCAGCGAGTACTGAAGGATCCTGAGACTCAGGAGCCGCATAGGGCGGGGCTGACAGAAGCCAAGGCTGTAGGCTCCACCCTGAAATCCCGTCCCATCTGTAACTGCGAAATGCAACAACAAAATAGATCACAAATGAAAGAAATGGAAGACAAAAAGCAACTGGATATAGAGTTCAAATCTACGCTTATAAGGGTTTTCAAGAATTTCCTAGAAAAGATGGATAAGACCTATGAGGATATGAAAAGAGATCAACTAGAATTAATAAGGAGTCAATAAGAAATGATAAGGGATCAACAAGAAATGATAAGGGATCAACAAGAAATAAAGAATACATTGTTTGAAATAAAAAATATTATACAGAGTCCTAAAAACAGAATGGAAGATCGCAAGAATCAAGTCAAAGATTTGGAACATAAAGAGCCAGAAGACACTCTTCCACAGAAGCCAGAAGGCAAGAAAATCTAGAAAATTGAAGATAATGTAAGAAACCTCTGGGACAACTTCAAGCAAACCAACATCAGAATTATGGGGTCCCAGAAGATGAGAGAGAGCAAGATATCGAAAACATACTGAAAGAAATAGTGACAGAAAACTTCCCCCACCTGGTGAAAGAATTAGACTTACAAGTCCAGGAAGCGCACAGAACTCCAAACAAAAGGAATCCGAAGAGGACCACACCAAGACACATCATAATTAAAATTCCAAGAGCAAAAGACAAAGAGAGAATATTAAAAGCAGCAAGAGCAAAGAAGATAGTTACCTATAAAGGAGCACCTATACGATTGTCAGCTGACTTCTCAACAGAAACCATGCAGGCCAGACGGGAATGGCAAGAAATATTCAAGGTGATGAATAGTAAGAACCTACAGCCAAAGATAATCTACCCAGCAAAGCTATCACTCAGAATCGAAGGTCAGATAAAGAGCTTCACTAATAAAAAAAAGCTAAAGGAGTTCATTAACACCAAACCAGAATTATATGAATTGCTGAAGGGGGTTCTTTATCTAAATAAAGATAAAGATTATGAACAACAAATACATAACTATCAACAAGTGAATCTAAAAACCAAGGAAATTAAAAAAAAATCTGATGAACAATATTAACTGTTGAATATAATAGAATCAGAGGTATGGAAGGGGAGTGAACTGACGATTCTTGGGGAAAAGGGGAGGGGGGGATGTGGGAAGAGTTTGAACATAAACTGTGCACCTATGGATGAGGACAATGGGGAGTGGGGAAAGGGCAGAGGGTGGGGTGGGAACCTGGTGGAGGAGAGCAATGGTGGGGGGGGGGGGGAAAGGAACATTTGTAATAATATAAACAATAAAAACTTATTAAAAAATAAAATAAAATAAAAAAGTAAACAATATATAACCTGCTTAATAAAAATAATGGATGACAGCAGAAGTATGTAAAATCCAAAATAGAGCCTCCTTTACTCCATCATGTCCATTTACTTCACCCTTTCTTTCCTCCCTTCTCTGAGGATAATAACTTTAACATTTGTTAGGTAGGTTTTTTTTTCTGACCCTTTTCTAAGCATTTGTGAATATACATAGTTTGAGTAGTAGGAGAAAATTTTTTGGGTAATGGAAATGTTCTATAGTATCTTGATTGTGTTGTGGTTACACAAATGAATATATTTGTCAAAGTTCATTGAATTACACTTGTACAATCAATGAATTTTACTGTATGTAAATAATACCATAATCAAGCAGATAAAAATAATAAAAATGTGCATAGCTCTTACAGTTATCTTAAAAGCTAGAAGAATTATTTCTCTAGCAATTCAATATATTATTGAGAAATAACTGTCTGATTGACTGCTTTCATGCTTAGAAACAACCTAATTAATGTGGGTTTGCACTAAGAATGACTTTAAATATATGAGTCTTGGAAAACATTGGAAATTTTTAATTTAATGGGTTTAGTTCAAACAGAAGCCCAGCCAATGACTTTGAGAAAAGAAATGATGGCAACAACATTGGTTAAAGAACAGGAGGGCCAAAGGAACCTATAAATTTGGATGTGTAAAATTAGAAGGAGAAAATGCCTTAAGAAGTCTTCATGGTGGACAATACTCTTTTAATGTTCATGTTGTATCCAATTCTTGCTTAGTATCAAGAAATGTTTATTCATTTACTCTGTAAATTTGTGTAGATTTTTGTAAAAACTATTTTCACTTTTATGCAACCATTAAGATTATGTTAAAAAAATACCTCAGTAACATTGGTTATGTATTGCTATAACCATAAATAAAAGAAATACTAAAAGTTGTATAAAAGCAGTGATGCTGAAAAGACTGGAATGAATGCAACAAAATATTGATATATCTAGTTATCTCTGGGTAGAGGAATTATACATTATTTAATTCCCTTAGAATATGCTTCTTTTTTTCCTAGATTTTCACAATGAATACATATTACAATCACAAAACTTTCAAAAAGTTCTATCTATCCATGTGCATATCACCAATTGTCAGGCAGGATTCTTCTCACTTTCAAATAATTTATTTTTACAATGTCTCAAAACCACCCTTCTAGGGGGCATTCTGAATAACTCACCTGATTGTAGTGACGCATGTTTTCAGCTTCACTTCCCCAGTCATAAGCTCTGAATTCATTAGATCTGTAAAGCTGAAATAAATGTGTGGGGTTTTTTAGTAATATAATATTCAAAATAAGAATCATTAATGTTAACAGCAAATCTTAGAAAAACACTGCACACTGGAAAGAAAATAAGACTTCTAGACCAGTAGAAAGATGGAAATACATTTTTACTATGAAAAATAAGAGAAAGAGAAAGAGAGAGAGAGAGAGAGAGAGAGAGAGAGAGAGAGAGAGAGAGAAAGATCTCCTATGGTTTGTAGGATAAGCTAATGGAAAACAAAGACTCATTAGGGAGAAGTCATATTTCTCTCTCTGGGGAAGGCTCCGATTCCTGAGATTTTCCCAGTTTACCTCTTGCTTTAGCTCAGGGCCTCTCTTACAAGCTCTGATTTAAGATGGGAATTATTTATATTACCTACTTGTTCTGCACCATATTTTGTCATTTCTCTTAAAACCCAGGGAAATCAGACCATTTAAGATGGTGACAAGGACAAAATGGAAGCCAGCTGGTAAGGTTCTTAGAGGAGGCCTGTTAAGTCTGTCCTTTCACATATAATGAAAACAGGGATGGTTTTCCATGACAGAGTCCCTACCTGCTTTATATGCAGGACGTTCTGTATTGACGATCCGGTGGGAGAGTGTGACATGTACACGTCCATCCGACTCTGAAGGGAAATAAACCACATGTTACAGCAGGAATCACCCACAGAAATAATCTATGCCCTCCAAACACAGAAAACAGTTCAGCTAAAACTTAGTAAACAAATACTGGGGGTTTTGGAAATATCCATGTGAATCGTCTAGATAAGTCTGAGTTTTTGACGGACACTTGAAGGAAATATCCATGTGAATCGTCTAGATAAGTCTGAGTTTTTGACGGACACTTGAACATGAGTGAACAGTGGGCTGACCAGTGGCATGGGTTGCTTGAGAGCAAACATGCATCAGCTCTGAAATGATAAGATAATTTGATTCCTTTGAAGTAGAAGAGGCAAGAATGGAAGTCATGGAGGAAAGGTGCAAAGTGCAAGTGGAAGCAGTGGTAGGTGCATGTGCCTAGATACGCTCTCGCAGATTAGTAGATCAAAAACATCCGGACTTCAGGTTCTAGCTCTGTTAATTATAATCTTTTGACTTTGGGCAAGTTATTTAACATCTCTGAGTTTCTATATTGTCATCTACTAAATGAAGATAATGAAAATCATGCTACCAATTTGGTGGGCTCTTGTGAAGATAAAATAAAATATTATAAAAGAAAAGCCAATAAACAATCATTTCTATGTGCACTGTACTTTGATTTTTATAAACAATATAGAGATGACATTATAGAGATACAACAATAATTATAATTTGATACCTGAGAATATCATGAAACTAATCAAGGGAACTATTAAAAATCTTTACTTTTGAATAAGTAGGCTTTGAACAATGGTTCCTCATGGTTTTTGGTCTAATGCAACTTAGCTTCTTAACAAATAGGAGTAGGGTGGGTTGATAGACAAACGTTTGGGACTAGCTTTACTGTCACAGTCTCATTTGGCTGCCTTTGGAATATGACAGAGATAACTATCCAACCACACTTCTCTGCAGATGCTTACTCTTCCTCCTCCTCCTCCTCCTCCTTCTCCTCCTCTTCCTTCTCCTCCTTGAATTCTCAATAACAGGAAGCAAAGAGTTGATGAAACAGGACTGCTGTTTCTTCAGAGAAAAGGGATTCCTTCTCCATTCCATTCTGTCTTTTAAGTTCTAAGTTAAGTGATGAGTTTTATTGAGGCCAGAGTCTTCCAACATATGAGGGTACACACAAAATAAGTTCAATGCTTATATGTGCTTCACTTCTTTTTGAGAATTTTATTTTATTTTTATTTTTATTTTTATTTTTATTAAATTTATTGAAGTGACATTGGGTAATAGGGTCAAATAGGTTTCAAATGTCCATTTCTGATACATGACCTGTATGTTGAATTGTGTGCCCACCACCCAAAGTCAAATCATCTTCTGTCACCATCTATTTGACCCCCTTTACACCTTCACTACCCCTCCTTCCCTCTTCCCTCAGGTAACCATCATGCTGTTTGTTGTCTGTCTGTGTCTATGAGTTTCAGTTTTATTCTAGGATTTTATTTTTAATGCACTATATTAATTGTAAGATCAAACTCACTGTAGTAAGTGGTAGCTGATTATGAACATGTGAAACTACTACCTATTGTGGAACATTCATTTTTCCTAAACTTGATCAGGGATGGAAGGTTGAAACCGCCTATTTATTCTTTTTCCCAGTCTTCTCATTCATGGGCTATTGAATTCCTAATCTATACATAGCAATACTCATCATTTAAGGGCTTAGAATACCCTTTATTAATACCCTTAGACTACCCTTTATTAATACCCATTAATTTATGCAGAGTAATAGATACATCAAACTAAGTCAAAGGAAAGCTGGAATTTCTCAAAACATCCAATGGTCCCATACCTTATACATACCATATTCAGATTGTTCCTGATTAACCCTGCCCATAAGTCCATTACTTCACGACATATCACCCGTAATATTTTATTGTTGCAGATTTTGACAAAAGTTGTCTTCGCTGTCTTATCTGCTGTAAAGACACCTTTGGTACCAAACAGTTTCTGTAAAAATAAAATTAAATATTTTTAAGAATTGTTTCCAAACTTTTTAACATTTTCATCATCCCAGAAATAAGGATTCTTAGGATCAATTTGTATTTGCTGTTTCAGTCAAGGAGACCAAGTTGTTCAGGCAAAGGAACTACTATACTTATGAAACCATCTGTACCCAGGGAAGATCACTAGACGTAATTTATAAGGAGATTGCAGTAAGGACCCTCAAACCAAAATTTGCTTCTTCATGGTGAAGCTTCTCTGTATTCTCTCATTATAGTCTGTAAATCAGTAACTGACTTCATTTAAAAAAAAAAAAAATATATATATATTTTATTAATTTTTTACAGAGAAGAAGAGAGAAGGATAGAGAGTTAGAAACATCGATGAGAGAGAAACATTGATCAGCTGTCTCCTGCACACCCCCTACTGGGGATGTGCCTGCAACCAAGGTACATTCCCTTGACCAGAATCAAATCCGGGACTTTTCAGTCCACAGGCCGACGCTCTATCCACTGAGCCAAACCGGTTTCGGTGGCTTCATTTTTAATATCTCATTAATTGGCAAGAAAGGCAGAATATTTCTCCTTAAGGATAAATATTGCCTTGAATAAGAAGGGAAAGTAGGATTTTCCCTATTACCCATGTGCACATTGTTTTTCTGGGAGCATCCCAGATTAGCTAGCTTTTATGCTGAAAAATAGAACATGGTGTACCAAAGAGAGGGTGCCACTGGACAGAAAGGGAGGTGGCACATTAAAACGTCTAGGGCTTGGGAAAATAAGATTGGGAGGGGAATCTCTGATGAGAGGACTGGAGCTTCTCTGGGCAACAGATATTATCAAATGGCAGGTGAGGTCAAGGAATGGAATGTACAGTGGCAGGAAACTTGACAGTAGGGGATATGAAACAGATAAACCAGGGACAGTATTTGCCTCAGATCCAATCTTTGTAGGCAAAGCAATAGATCTGCAAAATTGGTAGTAGATGTGTCAATCTCTGAATTTAACTAATTTGTCTGTTCAATCTGTCCAAATGTAGGAAATATCCAACATTGATATCAATACACTTTGCAGTAGAATCATCAACCACACAAAAGGGAAGTTACATCACTTGAGCTCAAGTAGATAATACAACCAAACTATTATCAAACCAATCATTAGGCCCTATGGAAATTCTTCCTTGTCTTAGCTCAACAAACAATGGTTTCCAGATCTATTACACCACCATAAACCAGGGCCTCCTCTTACATATGAATTATTGGGATACCCTAATTGGTCTTCTTGACTTCACTTTGACCAAAATTGATTTCATCCTTCACCCCAAATTCAAGGCGCTATCTTGGTAAAATACTGTGTGCCAATGACCTTTTCAAAGAGACAAAAAGCAAATAGAAAAATAATTTAAATGGATAAAATTCCCCAATTCCCAATTAGCAATCAAACTGCATTTCCAATCCTTGGAAAATAACCAATAAATATTCGAAGAAATATTTGAGCTGTAAGACAATTAAGCTTTATAATCATAGTTTTAGTAAATTAGAACAAGTATGAGTTCTAATTTACTAATCCATATAAGAAGGATTATTTTATTCACATTTTACATCAAAGTCAGGATGTCAGTGACCGTATGAAACTAGAAAAATGTCTTTCATTTGGACATTGCAAGTTCGTTGATTTGCACAGTGGAACAAGAAAACATGAATGGACTTTAAGTTGATATGGCACTCAGCACAGCTACCAGTTCTGATATATAGTCAGGTCTGTTAATGACTGAGTATAATAACTTGTATATGACAGCTGTAGACAGTGTGGTACAGACTTGCACACACACAAATAAGCACCTGGTTGCAGATTCTGGTTTCCACAGATTTCATCTAAACTTCCTACTTTTTCTTCATCACAGACTTTAAAAGAATGAACATCTATGATCCAAAATGAGACCCTCAAATACATTTTGGTGAAATGGGGAGCCTACCTTGATTGAAGAACTTGGAAGTAGAAAAAAACTGGTAAAAATACCCTTGGGATATTTGAATGAGGCCACAGGACTCAAGGCAAAATTCATTTTGATTCTCCGAGCCACTTCAGGCATGGTGGAAAAGGCTGCAAACCCTGAGAGAACAGGAGACAAGACATTCTTGTAAAAATGAGGGATGCATACTGTCTCTATAAAGAAGAGGAGGGACTCTTGTCATTTTAATCCTTCTATTGCCTGATCTTGGGAATGAATTGGGAGACTCTTCTGAGTTATTCTGCAAAGAGAATCTGCCTTTAGTCCTCTCTGCTCTCGTCTCCTTTTTTCTTCTCTTTTTCTTTTTAATTCTGGACAGTTGTAACCGGGTTGTGGAAAGTGAGGTGTAAGCTTCTACTGGCAAGTGACTATGGACAACCTCACTTTCAAAGCCTGGAGGAACTGCTGTCAATATTGTCATTTAGCTCCCAATGCAGAGGTGCTAGAATGAGTCCAGAGCTTCCAGAAGTAAAGAATCAGTTCTGGGAGGTGACTCACAAAGTAGGCCTTTCTGCAGTACCATCTAATTATTCCAGTTTTTCTTTCTCACAATGGAATGGAATTTCATTGCTCCCACTGCCTCACCGATGCTTACCAACCCTCCAGAATTTGTTTTCTGCTTTCAAGAAAGAAGGGGGTTTCCCTTGGTCCACTGTGGTCCCAGGAAGAATCAGGTACCATTTGCTCTGGTCTTTAAGTAATAGCACGGCACCCATTGCTAGCCCTGTAAGGATGAGGAGATCAGCACTACACAGAAGAAGCTCTGTGGAGTTTCTGTGTATTTTGGTTTTCCAAGATGCCTTCTTGGTCCCCCTCCACTGTGTGTGTGTGTGTGTGTGTGTGTGTGTGTGTGTGTGTGTGTGTTTCCATAGCAGAAACTTTTTTATTCCCCCCTGATTCTTATTGAAACTGTCTTGGGGAAAAAAAAAAAAAAAAAAAAGAGTTGACTTTGTATCCGTTGATACAAAGACTCTGAAACAGGCATAATACTTCCCCCTTGAAGATTTTTGTAGGTTTTTTTGTTGTTGGCCATACTGATTCGGGAGCCTTATTATCACTTAACTAGATTTCTGCTGCACAAAAGTTCGTGCAAGAGTAGGCCTTCCTTCAGCTGGGGGAAGGAAGGCCTACTCTTGCACGAATGTTTTCTTTGAAGAGCACATATAAAAGCATATCCTGTAAAAGTCCTACTCACTTTTCTAGACTCCACTCAAGTCATTCCTGCTCCATCCAAAGCCTAAGTATCTCATGGGTGAAGTCTAACTGACGTGGTTTGAATCTGTGTTCTGCCTCTTACGTACTAAGAGACCTCGAGCAATCCACTTAATTTCTTTGAATTTATGTTTCCTCTTTTGGGAGATAGAAATAATAATATAAAGTTTTAAAAAGAGATATTTTGGGAAAGTTCCTAAACACAGGGTCCTAAACCCAGTAAATGCTCAATAAATGTTAGCTCTGATAGTATAATTATTTACTTGTTAGTGGTAGTTGGGGGTAGTTGAAGCGAGTCTCCAATTAGTTCTTTGATACCCTTATATATGTCCTCTGATGCTCACTGCCTGTTCTAAGCTTGTAAGCTGCTGATCAATATAAAGCACTGATAAATATACATTTTCTGTTGATAATAATGGAGACTGCTGTAAGAATGTTTACTGTTTCTTGCACAGTTTCACCGATACTTAAATAGTTTTAACGTAACTTGATCTCTTAAAATAGAAAACTTCAGTGGAAGATCACTAGCAAATTCACATTTTTAACTATATTGATCCCTCTACATTTTTATTTGGAACTAGATCATTAATTCCTCCCCTACCTACCCCCCACCCCCCCAAAAAATAGGAAATGATTAAAAAGCATGTTTTCAAAGAGCAGGGCCTTGGACTTTTTTTTAAAAAAAATTCTACATAGTTCTTACATTTAATTGACATTCCATATTATAAGCCCACTTGCTTTATTATAGTAAGCTTTCATGTTCCAACTCAAAAAATAATCATATCTTTTTAATTTGTTCAAATATAAATATAAACTCCTCCCTTTTATTTATTTTTAAAAATCCCATGTGAGTTGTGAGGAAGGTATGATTATATTCTTCAGAGATTATTTTATGTGATTAGGGTTTACATTTTCAGCTCAGAGGGAATCTAGAAACTTATTCTTTGGATACTTCTTTGGATTTGGGGTACACGTTATACTGGGAAATTATATCACCATTACAAATGTGTAATTATGATCAGAAATGAAGGAAATATTTGGCCTACAAACAGTATCTGAAATTCAGGTTTATAGTCACTTATGGCACTGGAATTATGTGCTAAGAACAGGACAGAGAATGAAGGACATTATCAATGGCAGTAACTGTTCCAGCTTAAAGATGAACTCTTACAAGACTCTGACCCTGTAAAACATTGACCTTCGCAAACATACCTATTGTAGTGCCAAGTGAATGTCCAACATAATACAACTCCTCCTGCCCAGTTTTATTTACAATGAAGTCTATTATGCTCGGGAGATCATATTTGGCCATTTCATCAAAACTGCAAAATAAAACAGGATCTTATCAATACTCCCAACTAAGTTTGAAATTTGGAGCATTTGATCACTTTTTTTTACACTTAGTTGGTGTATATTTCATTATTTATCCAGTTACATGCAGGCTATTGTAGTTTTAGTTCACTGCATTCACAGGGATTACTTTTTATAACAGGAATGATTTCAAGACTTGTGTATAGTATCTGAAGTTCAGTCTTATCATTTCTCCTCTTCACTCCCTTCCATTGTGTTTGCTTCATTCCCTTCCCCCCCATCCCCCAATCTAGTTCTCGTGCCACTCCTTTAGACTCCCTCAGGGAACTTAAGACTTTCAGGGCTATTTGAATGCCCCCTATTAGAAACAGAATTGGTTGTAAATCATGATTCTAGCATGTAGTAACTTTTGATCAGTTACTTAAATTCTCTAAACTTGAGTTTTCTTATCTGTGGAATGAACATGATAGCACCTGTTTTAAGGAAGTCATAAGGGTTGGATAGTATTAAAGAAATGACTCTGGCTGCAATTAGTTGTTGCTGTTATTAACATTTCTGTCTATATAAAGGAATATATATATTCAACATATACCAACATCTTACAGTACCAGTTCAGCTAGTATTGATACAGGAGAACAATTAGTACATAACATTTAGTTGAGTCAGATACTCTAGAATTTAGAAGACTATTTTAATAAACAATGTGTGAGGAAATATATAGATTGATACTGGGAGTTGTGATACCTTACAGTAAACAAGATCCTAGCTCCTAGCTAAGGACCAGTGACACAAAATATTTCCCAATGTTCGCCACACTGCTCGAAAGCTCTGACTCTAACAATTTATTTTATTCTTTCTTTCTTCTCAACTTGCCAGTGGATTCTGAATATTTCATAACTTTGCATGTGACAGTGAGCTTACCCGTGAAGGAAAGCCTATGATGGGCACCAGCTTGTCTTCTGGTGACCCCAGAAACACTTTCACTAAAAGAAACACGCATCATATCAAAAGATTTTTCTCCATTCCCCTTAACAAAGTTTTAAAGATCTCAAATTAGAATTTTATAAAATAGTATTCTAGCCTGGCCTGCACGGCTCAGTAGTTGAACATCAACCTATGAACCTGGGGGTTACAGTTCATTTCCCAGGAGTCAGGACACATGCCTGGGTTGTGGACAGAAGGCAGTCAATCAATGATTTTCTGTCATCATTGACTTTCTCTCTTTCCCCCTCTCTCTACCTTCCTCTCAGAAATATATTTAAAACCAAAACAAAACAAAAAACAGTATTCTATAAAATTCAACCATGGTTTCTCTTAAAAAACAAAAATTTAGTACTGATACACATCATTGTAAAACTGATTGGCTGTCCAAGAGAAAGAACTTGTATTAGCAGCACTAGAATGAATAGAAGATTTGTGAGGGTGGGGACATTGTTCCCTTTTAAATGCTCAGAGCCTAGAATAGTTTAAATAAATAAATAAATAAATAAATAGTGCCTAAATAAATATGGATTGACTGCATACAATGGTCATAAGAATTCCTGTGCTTCCTTTGGGACATACTTTTACTGTATAGCATTGGATATTACAATGATATTATTAAAATGATATAATTTGTCTACAGAAGAACCAGAGGAAATTAAAGCTTCTTGCTGCTTCTGACTTTTGAGATGTTAGTAGGAACTACAAGAAACTGTGATTTCAAAGATTATTATTAATATCATTCATACTATTATATTCAAAATTGTCTCAAACTGGACACAGTTTACCTAAAGGCCCAGTATTCTTCTTCAGTCACTGGCAGTGTTTTGTGTTTTCTTGACCAAAGGTTCCCCCGACTGTTCCCCAGCCAGACATCGTAACCTGCGTCTGCGAGAATGAATCCAAGGCTTCCATTGGCATAATTCTTAAGCCAGCAGGAATTGTCTATAAACAGGGCATGCTGCAAGTACACTACTGGCCGGGGACCTGAAGTGAGGGAGGGAAAGAGAGAGAACAGTGATAGGTAGATAATGAGAAAATAATTTTTGATAAATAGAGCATCTCAGGAACATGATAGAAATGTGCATACACACACACACACACCACCACCACCACCACCACCACCAGAAAAAGAAAAAACAAAACAAAAAACCAACCCTAAAACACCATTCACTTTTTCCCTGTCATTAGTGTAGAACTTTATGATCAAAAAGCAAATTTCTTGAGCAAATACTTTGTACCTGGTATTATGGCCATTGACTGACATGCTCGAGCCTATTAAATTCTTACAATAACTTTATAAATTAATTACTATTTTGAGGCTCCTCATTGCACAGGTGTGGAAACTAAGACTTCAGATAAGTAAGTAACTTCCCCAAGGGTAACCAGGCTAACAAGGTACTGAGTCAGGACTCAAACTGGGTTCTATTTCATGCCAAAGCATGTGCTTGTAACTGCTATGCTCTATGATTTCATATTTACATATCTTCTGTGTGTGGCTTACAGTGACCTGGAAGTGATCACATTTAATGGAGTCCTAAGCCTCTTCCAGTCCTTCCTTTAGGGAGAGAGAGGGGGTGAGTGTAAATGGACAATCACTAATTTCTCACCAAGCTTCTAACCAAACACCCAGCCTCCACCCACGGGAGAACATTTGAAAATTATAATAGTAAAATATGCTGAACCCCCCCTCTTCCAACTCTCAAATTCCAAGTGTATAGAGTATTCATTGGGGAAAATGAGAAAGACCAGGATGACATGTTTCCAAAGGCCTATAATTTAATGATTAATAGTATTGACCTCATAGGTTTGCTAGGAACAATATGCCTGATAAATGACGTTTATTCCAAATCTTCCCAAATCCTCCCTCCTGAAGCAAAACCTTTCCTTGAAAAAGTTTTCTCCTTTTGTATTTCATAGTCCCCTTTTCCTCACTTCTGAGGGAGATTTGGTTGACAGATTTAGCCCAAAACAAACAAACAGAAGTGATAAAAAAGACTTGGGGACCCTATTAGATTTGAATAAAACAATAAACAACTTTTTCATCTGAGTTCTATATACTCAAGTGAGACATGTATGTTTATTGTTTATGAAATTCAACAGTAGATGTCTCATATTTTGTCAGGTAATCCAACTCACATCACACTCCCCCCACCCCTCCTACTTATAAAAAACTCTTGAATTACAAATTTCTTTCTGAGAGGAAGAAAGTGTCGAACAACATGATTATGGCTACTCTGAATGTGTATGGTGGGAGAGATGATGCAGAGAGGTCACTGAGACTTTGCTTGCTCTCCTCTCTCCCTCTTCAGAGGTTTTGCAGTTCTAGTTCTCCCTCTGCCTGTGGCCAGCTTGCTCCTCATTCTAGAACGAGGCCATATTAACACCATGCTCTTTCATTCCACAAACTATAGGTCTCTTAGATCCAGAGCATGTGTGAATGTTAAAGTTTTCTTTCCTGGAAGAAGTTTCAGAAATGCCAATCATTTAAGTTGAACTTTTATCATGAAGAGGGTGGTCTATAGAGTTTAGTGAGGGCCAGAGATACTTTTTTGGGGCACCCTACAACCAACTTTATACAACCCAGTGAATCCCTTTCTAACAGTGAGGAAATCCACTTTCTTGGAATATAGAAATTTATCACCTGGAAAATCAGTAATGAGCTTATAAAACGTAGGCTCCACTTTTGCCTTTACACCCTAACAAGCAAGCCTAGTTGCTGCCAACAAGCTCAGTCTTGCCTTTTGTATTTTTAGATTCTTGGCAGTCTTCCGAGAATTAGAAAAGAATGAGACTCCCTGCTAACAATTTAAAGACTAATGCAAAATTCAAAAAATGTTTGATATATCAGTCACTCTCTTAAAGAAAAGCCAGCATTGAATTTTAGTCATATCCAATCCTTATCAGGAAAGGCACAACTCATACCTGCACTCCTAGTGTCTCTTCGCCCGTGAGGAATTCTGTTGATGTTGAGGATGTACCCATCTTGAGTGACAACCTCATACTCTTCACTAGGGTAGCCATTATAGGTGATGATTTCACTCTGGCCAGTGAAAACACAGGCATTAGCTAAACATGTTCTAGAATGGGTATCAAAAGAAACTAGAACAAAGTATCTGTTGTAAACTTATCAGGGTGACTTATCTGTAATCTATAGCCCCAGGTAACTGTAAAATTAATTTATTAAATAAAGTTTTGATAAAAAATAAGTAGAATATTTTTATATAGAAATATATAATAGAAAATGTCTACTATTGACATTTCTTTAGTGGAGAGAGATAATATTTAGCATTGATGCATTCTTTTGACAAACTATATTTTCAAGTCAATTGTCTTTGAGATCCTTTTTGGTTTAAAGATAAGATCATAGTCCAATAGAGGGCAGTTATAAATATCATCCAGGTTGCTTAAAATATAAATTCTTAATACTATTAAAAATATAAGTTATCTGTTAAAATATAGTCCTGCTTTGCATGACCAGGAAGTATTATTTATTCAGCCAAAGAGCTTGACTTTTGGAGAAATGTTAAAAATCATCTGTTTTAGCCCTAGCTGGTTTGGCTTAGTGTATAGTGTATTGCCCTATGGACTGAAGGGTCCTGGGTTCAATTCCAGTCAAGGGCACCTGCCTGGGTTGCAGGCATGGTCCCAAGTAGGGGGCATGAAGGAGGCAACGGATCAATGATTTGCTCTCATCATTGATGTATCTCTCTCTCCCTTTCTCTCTGAAATTAATAAAAAATATTTTTTAAAATAGCTTGTTTTATCTGTTTTCTTATCAGAGATTTTCAGCTTTAGCAGGACTTTTAATAATTTCATAACCTATTATCTGCTTTATTTGGCATTCTTTGGAATTTTCCATGACTTACAGTATTCATCCACACTTCAGGATTTGCTTCATTTTCCAAATTAAAGAGTTTATCAGCAATTAAATTTCCACAAATCAAACAGGTTGTTGTTAAAAACAGCCACATCATTGGAATGCCTGATATAAAACATTGAATAATTACAGATTAATTTTATACATCAGAGCTGATTAATGAAATGAAAATAGTATCCTAATAAAAATGTGACTAACATCCTGAGAAAGTTGAGAAATGTGGAAGAGAACAAGTACAGTGGCTAACTCTGAGCATTATTAAACTATTTTTTTCATACAAAACTACCTCGAATAGCCCACTTCTGAAAATACAATGAATTTAATATAGTGTGACAACTTATTTTTATCTCTTATTTTAATGAAAAAATTTTCAATTATTTTAAGTCTTTGTTCACCTGCGATTTGCCAGAACACCTAGAGACTCAGAGGACATATTTCCACACCCTGGCAAAGCTAAAAGTAGAGATAACCTATAGTCTAGCTCAGCATTCCACAAAGCAAACAAGAACTAAAGCCCCAACCGAACAAACAAGCTGGCAGTAAGTTTCTACTGGTGTGACTATTTCTCTTGTGGACACCCAATGGCAAACTTTAATGTGCAATTTATCCTCTTGGCATTGCTTAAATCATATCTTTTCCAAGTAGGACAACATCATCTCAGTGTAAGCACTCATTATATGAGAGCTTCAAGGGCTTGAGATTGAAGTCCAGTCTCACAACACACAAGATTCCTAACCCTAGGCAAGTTATTTTGAGTGGATTTATCTCTTGGTTTCCTGGTTGATAGAATGAAGATAATAATGATTATCTAGAGGGAAGATTACAGGGTTAGAGGAAGGATTAGGTGACATATAAAACACTAAGCACAGTGTAAGCTCTTTCACCACTGAATGTAAGAATGAATGAGAGAGAAATAGCAGAGTCGTGGTTATAACAAATTAATGACCGACTTCTAGAAATTCAGAATTTACTTTTGAAATTAAATAACTTTTCTTACACTTGCTATCTGGTTTAGACAATTTTATATCTGTAAATGGTATATAATTTAAAACATTTCTGAAATAAAGAATAGTCAATATCTATTCTATTGAATGTTTGGCCTCTGCAAGGCACTATTCTAATTACTTCTAATTAGCTATTTAAACCTTAAAGAAATTCCATAAGGTAGCTACTGTTATTATCCTGACTTTATCAATGAAAAAAACAAAGGCTGAAAGAAATTTAAGATCTGCCCAACCTCACAGGGCCAACAGGTGACAGAAGTACGACAAGAACACAGGCAGCCTCCCTCAAGAGCCCTTATAAAACCTGATTTTCAAGCCACCTGCCTCCTGTTTGTGATAAATCTTGATTTTACCTGCTCCCGAGGCCTCCTATGGATTAGGAACTTCTGATCTTCAGCATGTAACATCAGGCTGAAGAATGAGATATGATTGCAGTGATAGTTAGAAGCCAGACAGATGAGAGGCAGGAAACCCAGGGTAAATGGGGAAACCTTGGACTATGATACACACCCAGGGCGTCTACCCAACTCACCAAATGCCACAATGCACTTGTGGATTGGGAAATAATGGTCTATATGATGCCAAATAACCAGTTTGACTGAATCCTCATGTTTCCATTGAGTGTCTATCGCTGTTGGGAGGGTTCAGCAACATTTTGAAAACAATGAGTCAAATGTATGGGGAAGTAAAATGTATTCAGGATCCTAGTGCATAAAATCAGACATAATAATATCTACCTTCTCAACCCCACAACATTACTGTGAGGATCAAATGACTCAATGTATAGTTGACCCGTGAATAACATGGGTTTGAATTGGATGGGTCCACCTATATGTGGATATTTTTCAATAAATATTGTAAATGCATTTTCTTTCTTTATAACATTTTCTTTTATCTAGCTTACTTTATAGTAAAAATATAGTATGTAATGCCTGTAATGTTCAAACTATGTACTAATCAATGTTTATGTTACCGGTAAGGCTTTCTGTCATCAGTAGGCTATTAGTAGTTAAGTTTTTGGGGAGTCAAGTGGAAGATTTTTGAATAGGTAAGGGGTTCAGCACCCATCTAGTGCAGCGATTTTCAACTTATATACTTCAAGAATTTTTTAAATACACAGTACCTCACTAGTCAGTCAGAACACTGACCTCACTTTTCCTACGTTGTCAAATTAAAAAAAGACAACAGCCATGTATACAACAATAGCCATCTGCTATGAATGCCCTATCTTGAACCATAAATATTTAGGTCATATAACAGAGTTGCATCTTATTGGTCACAGTACATAATAAGATTGTCTTTGATTGGTTAATTCTTGGTATTAGAGATCCATATAGTATACACATATATAGGCACCTGATTTTTTAGTCACTTTGAAGCAGAAAGAGCAGGTTATTACTAGTACATTTTTGTAAATAAATAAAAATTATACTTATTTTTTTGTCAGATTGGTAAAAAATATATTTCTGGCTGTGTTGCAGAATTTTAGTAATTAGTTTATGAGTGCCATGAGATAAAAAAGTTGAAATAGCTGATCTAGTGTGCAGGGATGGGATTGATTGTATCTGAACCGACAAGGTGAGGCCATCCTGACTCCCAACTCTTGAGTCCAGGAAAAGTTTGGAACTAGCAGTGTGGTGGAGAAAACAAACCCAGATTGCTAAAGGGATTCAACCTGTTGCCAACATTGGCAGTGACCATTGTGGGAGCTAACTTACAAACCAGTTAGACTCTGCCTTAAACAGGTAGAGTTGGGGACCTGAGAAGAATAAAGACAATTGAGCCTTATGCCCCACCTGAAATATTAGATAATGAAGGGGTATGTGATTTAATTTTTTACTTCACTTTGCATGTCTGTAGAGTCCACACAATCACGAAATGTTGTTCATTTTCCAACAGGAAGAAGGCTTAAGTTGCTACTGAGCATGACACAGGAGTTTTAATTTTATTAGTTTGGACTCATTCTCAAATACTTTCAAAAACAAAGATATTATTATTTGTCCAAACCCTAAGATATGTTCTACTGTGTAAGAAATTTTATGCCATTTAAGCAAATGTGGTGTGAAAGATTATGGACTGAGTGGGAAGATTATTTACCAGCCATATTCAGTATTTAATGAAAGACTTAACCATGCTTTGCCATTGTGGACAGTAATATGGCAGAAATGGATAGACTTGTCTGGAATCTCTCATGGGTTATGACTCTAAAATGACCGTTTCCAACAAAACTTCAATGGATTCTTTGGATAGTTCTAGGAAGCACATTATCATTATTGTTATTATTAATGTTGATTTGTTGCTATGACTTAATGTGGAAATAGCATGAACATAGTTATACTGCTCAGGTTTTTACAAATTGTAGATCAGCTTAAATCTCAGAAGAATTTCAACACTATTGCCTCCTTATATTCCTTCCTCAACTCTGAAGATTATCTGAGGATTATTTAAATAATCTGGAGAATTCTTCCAATTCTTTTATTTGATGATACAAGGCCATATAAAATAAATAAAGCTAATTTTCCCACAATATTTTCATCATTCTTACAAAGTAAGCTAGCTACTTTAGTAATTATTTAATATATTGAAATGAATTAAAATAAAATACATTGAAACTTCTTCCTTGGCTCTGTGAAATATTAAATAATGGCTCCTATGCTCTAGAAGCTCAAATTTCCCAGGTTTTTTTCTTGTGTGTGTTTGTGTGGTTTGTTTGTTTGGTAGTTTGGTTTGTTTTTGTTATTTGTTTTTCATAAAGCTAAATGGTATTAGAGCAGGAAAGGAGTGTTGGCCAAAATGTAGATTAAGGGGCAGCCTTTCAGAAGTCCTATGGTATTTCTGATATCTTGACCCAAGGATCATATTACAGCCTCAGCAATTGTTTAATGATGGCTGCCCATTTAATTAGTAAGGTGGCTGAAAATACATGGTTGAACATAGATCCTTGAACTTGGTATCTATCTGGGAAAATAGTTTTTATTTTCCTTCCAATGTTCTAATTCAAAATATATTTATTATTAAGTATTATCTTTTTGTCTGTTTGCTTCTTTTCCCCCAAAGACTGCCTTTATTAACACATGATTGTTTCAAAGGGGGCATAATTTTCCCTTGCACACAACAAAATTTTTTTTTTAAAAATTAAGCATAACCAACAAAATAGAAACTAATTATTTTGAAAAAGAAATAATTTGAAAACTTACAAATTGAGACAAATTTTACCTTGGAGGAAAAGACTGTATGAACAGGACCACAGAATTTGTTGCCAGCTAACAAGACAATTTACCTAATTCTTTATGCATCCTAAAATTCAAACAGGGATGCAATAAAGCCATAAGAGTGTGTGTGTGTGTGTGTGTGTGTGTGTGTGTGTGTAAAATGATTGATTAGCACATTTTGGCATTAGGAAAGGCACTTAAAATTATATTTCAAATTTTTATTTCTTTGCCCATGAAGCAAAGTTGTCGATGTTCATGATATCTATAAGAAACAGTCTTGTTTTTGAGATTACCTGTTGGAGTGGAGCATGTTCTCTTAGGGTTGGTATCAATGCATCTCAGTTTCAGCTCCACTATACTAGCCCCATCTTCAAACACAATACAGCTACGATAAAGAAGTAGAAGAGAGAAATGACAAATAAAAATTTCTATCCATCATAAATGAGTGAAATATCGAAGTTTTTTTAAAAGAGGCCGTAATAAACTAATTGAATATGTATCCACCCCAAACCAAAATGCTCAAAAGAAAGATCACTTACATTTAAAGAGAAGTTATTGCCAAGAGTGCTGGTGATTGCTTGTGATGACATCCACAACCCCGAGTGGCAGGATCAGGACAAGACCAGTGGTAAAGGTCAAAGGTTTGTGAGAATGAAGAGGAGAGACCACACCATCCGATGGGAGGAAACTGATACCATCCATTCCTCCAAGCCGGGTTTACCTGCCTAGCAGCTTACTTAATGGGTAGATTGGTATTTGCTTGCGCTCGTTTTGTATTTGAATTCCTGTAGGAAGTATATCCAAATAGAGATTCTTTTTTTGAAAAACCACACGCAGAACACAGCCAGAAATTCATATTGGATCTAATTTGAGATACAGTC